CCAGGCTGTGGCCGCAGGTTCCAGACAGATGGTGGCTCCCCAGGGCACCCTACAGGGCAGCTGCTCCCTGATTTATGCTTAAGAAGCCATTTCCCTGAGTGCCCCAGAGGTCCGCAGTGGTGGCCCGCTTGATGACACCTTTCTTGGCTGCCTTCCCTTCCCTGCCCTACTCCCCAGCTCTGCTGTTGGCGCTTCCTGGGGTGAACTCCCAAGTAAACTATTTGCCCTTGAATCCGTCTCAGGCTCCGTTTCTGGGGAGCCCCACACTAAGACCTTAAGTTCATCTCATTGCTGAGTGGATGTGACCGCTATCCGGCTGCAAATGTTTAAGGTGCTTCAAATATTCTTACTATAAGTGGTGCTACAATGAATAGGTCCACTGGGGCCAGGTGCCTCAGTTTCCTCATCTGTCTTTGTGGCCTGCTCTGCATGTGAGAGAGGGTCCTCTGACTGAGAGGTGTGGGTGCTGGTGGCCGAGTGGTGTTGGAGAGCACCCCAGGGGTAAGAACCAAGGGACGTGGGTGGGGTTTGGACGGCAGATGCTGCCAGGTTCACTTATCGATGTAGATAAATGTGGAAGATGTGATGGTGAGTGAGAAATGCAAGTTGCTGCAAACACATCGTTTATAGAAATACTTTAAACCCGCAACGCAGTATTCTTTATTGCATCTCGACTCACACGTGCCTGGTAAGCGGGCAAAGGCGTGTGTGGGAATGAGGAGCACATGTGCGGGCCAGTGGGTGCCCTGCAGGATGGGCAGGTGCACAGGTAGCGCTCCTCTCTCTCTGATGATTCCTTTCTTCCTGTTTCTGCATTGAGGCCTGATATTCACAAGGCACATGGGTAAAGTGAGCTGATCTTAGGTGCACACCGATGAGACTTTGTGTATACATTCGCCCATGTAACTGCCACTCAGATCAAGAGTTGGAATATTCCCAGCACCCCTCCCTGCCCAAGGGCTCCCTCATGCCCCTTCCCAGCCTGCACCTCCCCCAGACTTGATGAATTTCTTTTTGAAAATGGTTTAAAACAAATTTGACACAATGCTAATGAGATTTGCCGCAACTGGGCAGTGATGTGTTTGTGGGTGTTTGTGAAATTTCTCTCCATCCTTTTCTGGGTCCTTGATGTGCTTCATTGTCATCATCGTAAAGAGAAGAAGAGGACGTGGCCAGATGTGGGGAAGTGGTCCAGGCAGGGGTGTGGCGTGGACATGGTGTGGACAGAGGTTCCAAGGCTGGAGGAGAGTTTCAGGCAGCCCTGGGAATCCTGAGAAGGGGCTGGTCTCTTAGGGAGCTTTCCAAGATGAGAGCTGCTTTTGGGCAAATGTTCCAAAGCTGTCAAGGCTTGGACAGGGAGTTGCCCCGGAGGGTCCCTTTCATCACCCTGCCCGCACAGAGGGCGTCAGTGCTGCCTGGAAAAGCCAGTCGTGCCTTGGGCAGCACGAGGGCCGGGCCCAGAGCCCCTGCCTGCCCGTTCTTTCCGGGTCACGAGCTGCCCACTGTGCCCATCACACCAGCCTGTTTGCGGCTCCTCTGTGGGTGGCCCGGGCCTTGCATTGTCCCAGCACAATGGTGGTGGCCATGCTCTTGTGAAGAAAGTGGGACAGGAAGCCCCGATCTAGGCCAGCCGCACTGCCCTCCCAGCTGCCTGCTCTCCTCGGCTGTGCTCAGCGAGGCTGCCTTTGTCTCCCTCCCATCTGGGGAGGCTGGAGGCTGGACTTCCCAGCAGCATCACAGGCCCAGTTCGAACATCCTCTAGGAAATCCCATCTCCTGACCCCTCTACTCATTGTGCTTTAAAAAGAAAGATCATCAGGCTTCCAAGTGGCTGGAGCTGAGGCTCCTGGTATGTGTCAGGCACTGTGCCAGGCAAATTTTATCCCTTCCTTTGGTTTGTGAGTGCTTACTGTGTGCCAGACACCAGTCTAGGCCCTGAGGGTACAGCTGGGAAGAAGAGAAGCAAGGACCTGCCCTCATGGAGCTCCCACTAACTTTATCCTAATACATTTCGAAAGGTAGGATAGTATTACTATGATCTACGTATTTGGGAAGAGTAAACTGAGACTCAGAGAGGCTCATGCACTTTCCTGAGGTCACACAGCAGGAAGGAGGAGGAATGCAGTTTAAACCCAAATCATCACTTTTCCAACCTGGCCTCTGTTGTTGGATTTGGGGTAAAGGTTTCATCCTAGCCATGCTCTTTCTTATTTTCGCCTTTCCCTTACAAGCTGGTGTAGATTACTTAAGCTCAGTCTTTTTGTCTGACATTTGGGCTCTTAATGCAAGATGACAAGATGATAAGTGCATGAAAACACAGAGTACCTCCTGGAGGAGGTAACATTTGGGCTAAGGCCTGATGAATGAGAAAGAGCTGGCCCAGGACAAAGCTGGGAGAGAATATCCTGCAAGTAGGAACAGCATGTGCAAAGGTCCTGAGGCAGGAATGTGCCTGGCAGGTGGAAAGAATAGAGATAGAAGATGTGGCTGAAGATTATTGAGATATGGGGTGGGGGTGGAGTTCTGGAAAGAGAATTCAGAGATTAACTAGGAAAAGCCCATGGGGATCTTATGGGCTGTAGAAAGTGTGGACTTTCCTTTTTTTCAAGTATAGTTTTAAGCCATGGATTGGCAGGATCTGATTTACATATTTAAAAGGATCTTCTGGCTGTGTGTGTGGAGAAGGGAATGGGGAGGAAGTGATTACATTAGTCCAGGCCGGAGGTGATGGTAGCTTGGACCAAGTGGGTGGCTGAGGAGGTGGGGGGAAGTGGTCTGATTTTTAATACATGTCAAAGGTGAAGCTGATAGAGTTTGCATAGATGGAAATGGAGTGTCAGAGAAAGAGAGGGGTTGAGGACCACTGGGGGCATTTTGGGCTGGAGCCCTCTGGAAGGCAGAGGTGCCATTAATCAGGTTGGGCTTGGTGGTGTGTGGTTTTGGAGGGAAGTTCAGGAACTAGGTTGTGGATGAGTTAAATTTGAGATGCCCCTTGGCCATCCAGGTGGAATTGTTGAGTTGGCAGAAATCCAGCCAAGTCCAGGCTGGGGATGTATACTTGGACTGTGGGGTGTGGTGGATAACGTCCTGCAGTGAATGTGGACAGAGGCAAGGCCGCTTTGCTGTGTGACCCCAACTTTCTTCTCCATGACCTGCCATGTGGAGTGCCAGTGCGCGCCTTCCTAGGAGAGCTGAGTCTGCAGGTGGCCGGCTCCCCATGACAGCTATGGATGTCCCCTCAGGTGCTGGGAAAGGATCCAGCAACCTCCTCTCTGCCCACCTGCCCCTGCTTCCCTCCAGCCTGGCTGTCCCCTCCACCTCTCTGACTCAGAGATCTCCCCAGACAAGCTGAGCTCCTGTGCTGTAATCACCATGGCAGGGAGGGTGACTGGCAGCCCACCGTGCTGACCGTGGCCTGCAGACCATGAAGTCATTTTCACACGGGTCTCCGTGTGGCTATTGCCAGGTCAGCGTGGGGCCAAGCCCTAGAGTCAAGGCAACCAGGCGGAGTTTGCTGTGTGCGGCGGGTCTCTGTCTCCCCACTCAGACACTGGCCGCCACCTCTCCCTCCCTCCCCCACATCCATTCTGACCCCCTGGCCCGTCCATGGGACCGCTCAGTAGCTCTTCCTCTGCCTGCTCTGTCTCACCCACACCAGGGCCCGGCCGCTGTCATTGCTCAGCAGCCCGGCTGTGCCCCTCTATTCTGGTCCCCCTACTTTTATGCTCAACCCCTAAAATCTAGTTCTTCACAAAAACAGAGAGCTCTTTTGCCACCATTTAAAAACTGCGAGACTTTGCTTTAAAAAACCGAATCCTATCTCTGGCTTCTCTTGGGGAAAAAAAAGGGAAACAAAACCCCCAAATCCCCCCAAAACTTTGGAACCTCTGGTCATGCCGGGCCTGCTGCCTTCCCACGTGGCCACACTTAGAGGGGACGAGCTGCCGCCCCCTGCAGTGGACGTGTGCTTGCCTGTTCCCCACAATCCCTGCCATGCCCCTCCTTTGTCGTCTGTCACATCACAGAGCAGAGAAATGATTTCTCTGTTCTAAGACCTTGAAAAAAGTGGCAGAGCGACTGTGGTCCATTCGTACAGTACGATCCTGGGCAGCCATAAAAAAAACAAGGATGCTCTCAGTGCAGTTATACAGAGAGACCCTTGAGCTAAAGTAAGTGGAAACAGCATGTGCAGTGCACCCTGTGTTTGCTGCTATTTTTTGGTGTGTAAAAAGGGGAAGCTGAAATTTATATGTGTATGTGTATATGTGTATATACATAAATATATTTGTGTGTGTTCCAGCTTTATTGAGATATAATTGACATACAACATTGGGTAAACTTAAAGTATGCAACCTGTTGATTTATATATATATTTCACTTATATATATATTTCACAATGCTTACCACCATCATGCAACTTTAAGTATACAATCAGGTAGTGTTAACTGTGATCACTGTGCCGGAGGTGAGCGCCACGGAACTTACTCATCGGGAGCTTTGTGCTCTGACCAACGTGCGCACGTTTATTTGGAAGGAGACACAAGACACCGGGAGCTGCGGTTCCTGTGGGGGATGGGAGGGGCTAGATGGATGAGGCCTGAGAGAATTTTCGTATTTTTGACTTTTGAGCCTTGTGAATGGTTATTATTTAGAGGTTATGTTTTTAAACAAGAACAACAAAACCCAAAAAAGCAAGAAACCAACAAAAAAAAAGGGAGAAATGAATTGTCCGAGAGGGAGCCGTGGGTGATGGAGCACATGTGCGTACAGCTCCCTGAGGGCAGGGCCTCGTGTTGGTCCCTGCAGAGCCTGGGGTGGTAGGTGCTGTGTAAGCGGGTGTTGGCTGAGTGACAGAGTAGGTTTTCCTCACCCTCTGCCCGTGTCCCTGGACCGTGGTGCCTCCCAGGGCCTTGTTGGCATCGAACCTGTGGCCCTTCTTTCGGGCCACCCCCGGGAGACGGGACGTGGGGATGCTGACCTCTCCCTGCTTCTCTCCTGCAGGCATTCCTGCATCGCATCCGGCAGAATGTGGCGGACTCAGTGGAGAAGGGCCTGACGGAGGAGAACGTCAAGGTGCGGACACGGGGCTGGCCCCTTCCCTGGCTGTCCCTGCTGCTGTGTGCGGAGCTGCCTTGTTCCTCCCGGCGATGCTCGGAGGGTGTGCAGGGGTGGGGGTGGGGGTGGGGTGCATCTACCCCACGGGCAGCAGGCTCTACTCCCTGCACCCCTAGAGACCTCTCGGACCTGTGAGCAGAGCATGCCTGGTGGCCGTCAGGAGGACTCAGCCTCAGGCTGCCACTCCCCGACTCCAGACTTTCTCCCCTTGTTCAGCATGACCACCCTGTCTTCTGACGTCCTCGTGCCAGGATCCCTGGCTTGGAGCCAGAGGAAAATCCCTTCCCAAGCGCCCCTGGGAGCCTGGTACCTCCAGCTGCCCTCTGGCAGCCCTGGCCCCTGCCCTGCACTGGGCGTTGGATACTGAGGCAGGGCGGATGAGTAATTGGGTCCTGGCTTCATCTTGGCTGTGGCTCCGGGGAGTTTTGGGAGGAAGTCAATAGGCCTTCTGTGTGCCTGGCAGGGGCCCCGGCGCTCCCCGGGCCTGGCTTTCTAGTGTGACCTCACTCTCTGGGAAGCTGCCTCCGGTCCTTGGAGCTCCAGGGTCCTGGTCCTAGGAGAGAGGAGGGGAACGGGGCAGTGTGGGGGTCAGAGGTACCCAGCATGTACAGCACACAAAAGACTTGGTCAATCAACAACCCCTCCCCCCCGCCTATGTCCTGGTGGGTATGGACAGTAACCTTGTATGTTGACAATTCTGAGCCCAATATTTTGGATAAGAAAGCTGAGGCTTAGAGTTGTAAAGAGACCTCAGGGGCACTGCATAGCTGGTCCCTGGTGGAGCTGGAATCAAAGCTTTTTATGCATGTATTCATTTATTCATTCAGCAAATATAAACAGCCTACTGTTTAGTACATCTGTTTATTACAATTAAAAATTATTTATTATAATTGAAATTCATAGTTTATTACAGCTTTAAAAAATTTTTTTTATGAGGTATAACTCACATACCATAAAGGGTACGGCTAAGTCCAGGGTCCTCTGTGTCCCCTCCCAATACATGCCCCTCCCCAGAGATAACCACTGACTTGTAGTGGCATTGATTAGTTTTGCCTGTTCTTGAACTTTATATAAAAATGAGCTCTTTCATCATGCCTGGAATCTTTTGCTCACTGTTATGTCTGTGGGATTTGCCCAGAGTTTTCTGTGTGGCTGGGATTCATTCTTTTTCATTGCTGTGTAGTAGTCCATAGTAGGGATGCACCACAATAAACTCATTCATTCTCCTCCGAATGGATATGTGTGCTATTTCTAGTTTTTGGCCATGATGACCATTCTTACCTATGTCTTTTGGGGGACACAGGCTCTCATGTATACTTTGGGTATACTCTCAGGAAACAGATATTTATTTTGAAATTGTGCAGCTATTCCTTGAAATATAACAGTAGGATATATCCTATGTGTCTTTAACATAAGCAGATTCAACCATGTGAACTAGACAAAACATGAGAGAGAAAAATAACCAAACAGTGTGGGTGATTCTTCCAACCACTTCCCGTGACAGGCATCCCGCAGGGCAAGGCCAAGGAGAAAGAGGGTCCCCGACACTCTGGGGCTGCAGCATGCATGGGTGGTCTCCTGCCCCCCAGCTGTCCCTGCCCACCCTCAGGGCCCTCCCTCTGCAGACTGTCTGGGGCCTTCGCAGGGCCCGTGGGAATGGTCTTTATTCCTTGAGGTCTTAACTCCAGTACCACCTTTTTAAGGCAGCTGTCCCTGACCTCTGTGTTCAAATTCACGAACTTCTCTTCCTGCTCCACCCTGGGACTCCCTTCCTGTTTTATGTTTGTCTTTAGTGCTTCTTAGCACCTTGAAAACTACCATTATTGGTTTGTTATCTGTCCCCTTCTACTAGAATGTCCCCTCCAGGGAGGCAGGCACTGGTCTGTTCCCTGCTGTACCCCCAGGCCTGGCACACAGTAGGTGCTCAGCCAGTACTGCTGAGTGAATGAATGTGTGACAAGCCCTAGAAGGAACCATCAGCCGTAGGAGCACCAGTGGCCCCGGCTGTGAGCTGCTGCGTGTGAGGAGCAGGCGGATGGGTGGGAGAGGGACTCCGCACAGCATTTATTTTACCGTGGTTTATTTTTTGAGCCACGCGAATGCCTTCTTCAAAAATTAAATAAAAAATGCACCTCTTTAAAAAAAACAGAGAAAGGAATTTATGCAGTTCAAATGGCCTGAAGTTCATAAATGTCTCCCATGGTTCTTCTTAGAGGTCCTTACTGTTACCAGCTTGTCTTTTTTTTCCACCTTTTTTTTTTAATTTCACTGGAGACTCGAACCCAGGACCTCATGCATACTAGTTATGCGCTCTACCACTGAGCTATTTCCCTCCCCACCAGCTTGTCTTATTGTCCAGAGAGTCTCTGCTTCTGCCAGCATAGAGAGGAGTGGCCCTGGTGAGTGTTATTTTACACAAATGAACCCATGCTGGGATCTTCCGTGGCACCAGACTCTCCCTGCCCCAACTTAACAATATAGACCAAGGCTCATTCCAGAGTTCCATGTCCATATACATAGACCTGCAGATTCTTTTTGCAGGCTCGAAATACTTCACTGTGTGGAATGTGTTTAAATATAACCAGTCCAACTTATTTAACTGTTTGACGAGTCCCCACGCATGGATGTTTGGCTTTTCCGGCCGTTTACTACTGCAGATGAGGCTGCGGTACACCGTCTTGGCCATCCAGCCAGTTCTCGACCTTGGCACAGTGAACACTTTGGGCTGGATAATTCTTTGCCCTGGGGGCTGTCCTGTGTTTTGTAGGATGTTTAGCAACATCTATGGCCTTTACCTATGAGACACCAGTAGCATTCCTACCCCTAGTTTGTGACAATCAAAAATGTCCCCAGATGCTGGCAATGTCCCCTGGGAGGCAAAATTGCCCCTGGTTGGGAAAACTTTTTTTTTTTTAGCAGGAGGTGGTAATTAGAATTATTTATTTACTTATATTTTTAATGGAGGTACTGAGGATTGAACCCAGGACTCTCCCACTGAGCTATACCCTCCCCTCTGTTCCTGGTTGGAAATCACTGATCAAAAGGTGAAGTTCTCAAATGCAGAATTGCTGGGTCAGACTGTGCATTTCAAACTTCCTAGGTTCCTTCAGGGAAACAGATTGTGAGAATTTAAACGGTGTATCTTGAACATCCTTCCCTATCGTGTTTTCTTTCATCACATCATTTCAGAAGGTGCCTGGAAGTACCCACATCGTTTTAAAACTCAGTCCTATGGCCGGACGTACCAGTCGTGTCTGGCCAGGATGAAGATCGTGCTCAATGTCTCAGTCTGTCATCCTCTGCTTGCTGAGTGGGAGGTTTGGCTCTGCTGCTTCCCTGGGCTGTGCGACCTTGGGAGTGTTAATTATTTTCTCTGAGCCTCTGTTCTTCATCCGTGAATTGGAGGTGACAACAGTTTCTCCCTCATGGAGTTACAGCGAGAATTAGATGCCCTAAATGCATATGGCGTTCTTAGCACAGGACTGGGCCTTAACCCTGTTTAGTACACGTTGGCTGTGTTTTTCGTTATTGTCATTATTTCTGTTGGCTCCTGTGTACGAGCATGCCTGTTTCCCTGCACCCTCCCCACCCCGCACCAGGGGTTAGGTGTTTGTTTTGTGCTTCATTTTGCTCTCCCTCTGTGCCTTGGTTAATGCTATTTTGGGGCATCCTTCTTCCCTTATAGATCCTGTTCTCCAACATCGAAGACATCCTGGAAGTTCATAAGGATTTCTTGGCTGCCTTGGAGTTTTGTTTATATCCGGAGCCTCAGTCTCAGCACGAACTTGGGAATGTTTTCTTAAAATTCGTGAGTACGCTGCCCTAGCCCCTACCGGAGCCTGCAGCTTTGGGGAAGTGGGGCTTCTCCCCAGGGGCCCCATCCCACCCACCTTGGGCTGGCAGGGAGACGAGGAGGCAGGTGGCCAGGCCTCTGCCTCCAGGAACGAGGGGCAGGGGGTCGGGCCCGTCAGACTGGGGGTCTTTTTAGCTGGCTCTCCCTCCCCTCAACATCACGTAAAGTGCGGCTCCCTTTTCCTCAGAGCTCTTTGCGATGACTGCATCCCGGGGCCCCCGTGACCTCCGGGCCCCGTGGGGCCCCGCTCCTGCAGAACAACCAGCAGAGGCAGCCAGTGGCCGAGTGGGCGGACTCAGGACCAACAGACCTGGGTTTGAGTCCCGCCCTGGCCACCCACTGGCCGGCGAGGGTGTCTGACCCTTGAGTGCCCACCTGGGCTGCAGGTCGGGGAGGTTGTCCTAATAGCCTCTTTCTTCCCAAGTCACTTAGAATTGTGAGGTGATGGGGGAGCTGAGCCCACAGGAGGCAGCTGCTTTTCCACACCCTCTCCCTCTGCGCTGCCTGGGCCCCTCCCCAGGGGGAGGAAACCCGCCCTGGCCTCACGGGCACGAGGCCTCGGCCAAACGCCTCTCCTCCCCGAGCTTCTGTTTCCTCCTCTGATTGAGAAGTAGGGACAGTGGTGCCTCCTCGCGTTGATGGAAAGGCTCGGAGAGGTAAAGCACTGAGTGTGAGCACAGAGCAGGGGCTCCTCAAGCAAGGGGCGGTTTTGCCCCCAGGGGACGTTTGGCCACGTCTGGAGTGGAGTCAGGGGAGAGTCCTTGTGTTTGCTACATGGGGTGCTGCACAGTTCGTGAGCTGTTTAAACTGTTTAATGAAGTCAATTACGTCTTCAGATTAAAAAGAAGAAGACTGGCGTCTAGCCCTAAGCTTGCCCGGTAGGGAAGCCGACTGAGAGGAAGGTTAAACCCAAGGCCATGACTCTCTAGGTGGAAGAGCTGGCCTTGGGACCCTCCTGATGGCTGAGCGCACGTTTTTAGACTTCACTGGTGCACACGTTAAGTGTGTAGTTTTGCTTTCTCTGGGTACCCTTGTATGACTGTTTGTTTAATCTTTAAAAGTTGTTTCACTTGAAAACAGCTCGTTTGATTAAAAGGGAAACTTGTATTCATTATTGGACCTGGAAAATGGGTATCTCTTGCTATTAATAGAAGGGAACTGTAAAAATAAATGCAGTAGAAACCAAGCTGTGTTATCACATTCTGTCCAGAAATTCTCGCCCACTTGAGTCTCTGAGCCCTAGGCCTGCCCTCGGTTCGATTAGGAGGAAGGTGAACAGTGTCAGGCCCCCTACGCTCATGGAGGATGGCCCTGAGGTCTTTTTCAAAGTGGCCCCAGCTGTGGCTGGGTTTCTGGAAGCTATGTGCAGGTGGCCCGTTGGAAGCAGCTGAAGGAAGGTTGCATGGTCTCCACCCAGCTTGATCCCACCCAGAGGGGATCTCTGGAGCTCGGTTTTTCCTTTAGGTCACCCCAGATTGCCCCAAGGAGGCAGGACCTTTGCACCCCCACTGGATGTGGGCAGCCCCAGGGAGCCAGTGTACAGCCTTGGGCAGGCTAGGCCACGGTCTCAGGCTGAGGACAGTCCCTGGGGAGGGACTCACTGATGGGACATGCTCACCATGGCGTCCCGACAGGGAGGGAGCGCCGGGGCCAGCAAGACAGCGTGAGGGTTGTGACGTGGTAATTGGGAACAGAACTCTGCAGACAGGCTCTCCGGGAGAGGAAGGGGCTCATCAGACCCTGTGAAAGGCCCTGGCTTACAGACCAGCCCACTGGTGCTGCCCAGTCAGTGGACACTGGGAGAATCCCTCACCCCCTCACCCCCAAACCCAACCGCTGACTACTGAGATGATCACAAGCTAGCACTCACTGAGCCCTCTCTTTGGGCTGGGCACTGTTCTAAGTGCTTTATGTGTATTAATTCATTACAACATCACTACAACCTTTAACAGTGTGTGCTAGTATTATACCCACTTTACCGATGAGGAAACTAAGGCCCAGAGAGGGTAAGTCAGAGGGCAAGGTCACACAGCCAATGAGTATTGAAGCCGGGATTTGAGCTAGTGTCATCTGACTCCCGGACTTGTGTTTTTCACCATCTCACATGGTAAAATCTCCTGATATTATTATTAAGCACCTACTATGTGCCAGCCACTGTACTTGGCCCTGAAGATGGTGCCCTAAATAAGACACAGTTGCTTTCTTCTGCTGTGAGGCTTGTAGGCCGGAGACACAGAGGGTCGGTCAGTTCAGAGAAGAGGTCATTTCAGATGGGGACGGGAGTTTGTGAAGAATATAAAAGGCAGATGTGATAATGAGTGGCTCTCCATGAGTTTGTCTGGAATTGGGAAGTCAGAGACAGGGCTGCTAAATTGAGCAAATAAAAATACCCAGGACAGCCGAGTAAATTTGGATTTCAGGCAAAGAACAAATAATATTTTAGTATAAGTACATCTCATGCAGTATTTGGGACATACTTACACTAAAACAGTACTTGTTGTTTATCTGAAATGAGCACTTAGCTGAGGGGCTTGTGTTTTATCTGGCGACCCTGGTCGGGGAAGGCCTCTGTGAGGTGGCGAAGTGGGGGATCTTAGGGAAGGGTATTCCAGATGGAGAGAGAACTAGGGCAGGGCCCCGGCTGGAAGGCAGCGAGGCCAGTGCAGTGGAGCAGAGCGAGCGCTGGAGGGAGTTCAGGGATGTCATGGGCGGCCCGAACCGGCAGGGGGTGCATTCTGAGAGTGGGAGATTTTTAGCTGGAAGTAGCGTTTCCACGTTATGTTTTGACCCCTTCTCCCTGCAGCTGTGTGGACAGGTGGATGCCAGGTTGGGGAAAAAGTGAGACTTGAATCTCATGCTCCCCTCCCCATCAGAGATGTCTACACGGCCAGCTCCTTCCCTTCTCTGAGTCTCAGTCTTTGTGGGTGTGAAGTGAGTGGTTGGGAGCGGATGGTCTCTGTGGAGCCGTTGTCACCCCCGAGTACTGTGGACAGCAGCCCCCACTTCTGACAATCCTTGAGCCCTCCCTGGGCTGGACCCTCTCCCCCAGCTGTCCCCCTTTTCTCCTTCACAGCTCAAACCCACAGCCACATGCTCCCTGGACCCACCACATCTGTGTGCACACAACTGTTTGTCCATTTCCTCCTGGCCAGACAATCAAAGCCCCACGTGGGGCCCCTAGGAGGAAGCTGAACGCTCGGCCTCTTAGCGGTCAAAAGCAGCATTTCCGCATTTGCCGAGTCTTGGGCCTGAGATGCAGCTGGGGTTAGGCTCAATGAAAGGTGGTAGTGATGGAACAGGGTGTGGTTTTGAAGAGGGGGGTATTGTCATTTGCTAAATTTAACTTCTTCAAGCCTCAAGCCTTGGTCCCCTGCCCGTTTCACAGGCCAAAGGAGAGGATGACATTGTGGAGTGTGTCAGAGAAGGGGCTCAGGGGATGAGGAATGACAAACCCAACCCATGGCAATCTTATCACTTACTCCCCTCTCTTGCATCTGTGGCAGACATTGCTAATCAATCACAGCATTCTCCATACGGCTCCAGAATTAATCTCACTAGTGTTCCAGCCAGCACCGCTTATTAAGTGGGGTTGGCATGTGGGAATGAACAGATTTGGCTCTGCTTTCTGGTCCAACCCCTTCATGGTGCAGGTGGAAATGAACATGGAGACCCTGTCGTTTCACCAGGCTTAGATCCATTTTTTTCATTTTCTTCCCCCTTTCAGAATGTGCATGTATTAGACTGTCTTCATTGAAAGTGACAAAAACACCAACTCAAATAGGCTTAAAGAAAAAAAGACTTCATTGGCTCATACAAATGAAACATTCAGGGTGGGTTAACATCAGGCATAGCTGGATCCAGCACCCCGTATGATGTTTTCAGAACTGAGTCTTTCTCTCTCTCTAGGCTCTGCTTTTCTCTGTGTTGGTTTAATTCGTGGAGGAGGGGGAAGTATACATCTCACATGGTGGCAGGGGTGGCCCTCAGCCATCTCAGCCTTACAGTCTGCTGGTTTAGCAGCAATAGTTCAGAGAGAGCTTCTCTTCACAGTTAAGTTTAGCTTGAGCCCTTGAGGGCTCTCGTGGGCACAGCTGGGGTTACCTGGCCACTGGTGCCAGGACAAGGAGCTCTTTGATCGGCTCGGCCTGGGTCACATGCTCACCTGTGGTGCCTTGGAGTGGAGAGTGGGCTCAGTGGGGTCAGAGTGTAGGAGGTGGTTCTCCAGGGGAACACCTGGGAGCCATGACCAGAACAAGGGGGAATGGATGGTGGGTGGGTAGAACAACACATGGGCCAATGAAGAGTCGAGGCTGCGCTGTGGTGGACCAGGTCATCTGGAAGAAGTGTGGGGCTGGTGTGAGGGCCCCGGGCACTTCTCACTTCCTCCCTCTGCTCTGTCATGTCATTCGTCAAATAGTCATGAGGCCTGCTCTCTGGGACTTCAGTCCCCACCGGTGCCACAGCCATGACCCCAGCAGGTTCAGACTGTCTCTGTGGAGCTCACAGTCCGGGGGTGGCTGGGGGAGAGGGACAGTGCACGAATGAGGAGTCAGGCATACCGGGGAGCGGGGCGAGGGCCACCATCTTTCTCAGAATCCGCTTGGTGCCTTCCCCAGACCTATGAGTCCACTCAGCTCCCTTCCTCCTGACTCTGCCTGTCTCTTTTATTGCCATCAAAACCTGCCCATCCACTGCCCTACCCTGTCGTAGACGATTCGCCAGTGGGATAAGGAATTTGCTGAAATAATTATGATGTTAATAATGGCAACATTAGTAACAGCAGTAATAATACTAGCTGGGAGTTAATGAGCCCTTACCATGCGCTGTTTTAAACATTTACTATGGATTCACCCAGTAACCCTCACAGCAACCTTATGGGGAGATCATCATTGCCTATAATTTATAGACAAGAACGCAGATGCTCTGAAACATCACATGCCTTGCCCAAGGTCACAGAGCTGGCGACCTGGGGAGTCGGGCCATGAACCTGGGTGGTTTGGCTGTGGAACCTGCACTGGCACTTACAAGGCTGATGCTGATAGTGACCGATGGGGCTTCTGCTCTCTCCTCTTGGAGCTGCGGGCACTTGGCCGCTCAGGGCATCTGCTCAGATGGTGCACGCGGAGCCCCCGGAGGGAGCCGGGGCAGATCGGGGTGGCTTACTGATTCTGAAACCCATTCTCTCTCCTCGTCTGTTTCCTCTTTCCTGCGGTCACCCATCGGCAGGATGACTGGGGATTTGTTTAGAAACAAGACGAGCTGCTTACTTTGCGGACCCACCTCTTCCTTCCTTAACTTCTTGGGGTCTCCTGGCCACTCCCCAGCCCAAGGTCAAGGCCCTTCAGCCCTTCCTGTCCTGTGGCCTTCCCCAGGACATCCTTGTTTGGGGTTTGGCAGGTTGGGAGGAGGTATTCTGTGCGCCTTTGGGAACCGAGACTGCCCCATGGAGAGCTTCCTGCTAAGAAGGCTTCTGTTCCTTCCAGTCCAGGAAACCCTGACTGATGGTTGCAGACCCGGTGACCCCTAGGTGATCTCTGGGCTGGCAAGAGTCCAGCTTTGGGCTCAGAGCTCTCCCCCGTAGCAGTGACCAGAGATCTCCTTTTCCCCCCCAATTCCTGAATCTTATTTAGACTTTCCTGGCTCATATATGCAGGGTACTACACATAGTACGCATGTAGATTTCATTTAGTAAATATTCATTGAGGGCCTAGTGTGTGCCAGGCATTGTGCTAGGATTTGGAGATTCTTCAGTGGACAAGACGGATGTGGTCAGTGCCTTCAGGGAGCTGACTGCCAGGTGGGAAAAGACAGATGATGAACAAACAGTCTGGATAATTCCAGATTATGAGTGCTATGAAGAAAATGAAGACGGGTTTGGGTGGGGAGGGTGGTAGAGAACACCTGGGTGACAACTTTTCCTGGGATGGTCCAGGTGTCATTTGAATAGGTGGCATTTGAGTTGAGACCCGAATGGTGGAGAGTAGCCAGGCTTTGGGCAACGGTGTTCCAGGTGAAAGGTGCAAAGGCCCTGAGTTAGGAACAGGCTTGGCAGAAGTTTAGGGAGCAGAAAGAAGGCTAGTGAGATGAGGTCGGAGAAAGGCAGGGTCACATTCTCTGGGCCTTGAAGGTCATGATGAAGGGCCGGGTTCCCTACCTGGTGTAATAGAATAACACTGGGGATGGGGGTGAGCAGTGGTGAGGCGCAGTCTGGCTTGTGTTTTGATCTTAATGATAGACATTTACTGAGCGCTTGCTTCATGCTGAAACCTCTTATATTAACTCACTTAATGCCCGTAACAGCCCCACGAGTTAGGGTCTGTAACTAATTTCACCTTAACGGATGAGGAAACCCAAGTGCGGAGAGGTCTGGTAACTCGCCCAAGTTCACAGCTGGAAATGCAGAGTGAGGGTTCAAGCCCAGCCTTGAGTCTGTGCACTTGGCCCTGGGCCATGCTGCTTCCTGGGAGATTTCTCGGTTTCTGGGTGCAGGCCTGGGGCAAGAGTGGATGGAGGCTGAGAGCCCTGTAGGGAGTGACAGCCACTTCAGCGGAAGTCCTCCCTGCTGTGTGTCTCTCGGGTCTGGGGCCATCCTTTCCTCCTAGGCCTGCTGGCCCGGCCTCCGCACATCCCAGAGTGTCTGCCTTTCTGCCGTGCTCTGTGTCCCACAGGCTCTGTCCTTGTCTTGCAGAAGGACAAGTTCTGCGTGTACGAGGAATACTGCAGCAACCATGAGAAGGCCCTGCGGCTGCTGGTGGAGCTGAACAAGATCCCCGCCGTGCGTGCTTTCCTTCTGGTAAGTTAGCTGGCCCCCCTCCCGCTCCCTTCCTCAGACCCCTCTGCCTGACCCTTCCTCAGCCAGGGCAGTGTCTGTAAAGCAGGGATCGCAGACACTTTCTGTAAAGGGCCAGGTAGTGAATATTTTTTGCCTTCGTGCGTCATACAGCCCCTGTCATGATGACTCAGCTCTGCTGCTGTAGCGTGAAAGCAGCTGTAAATAAAAGGAATGAGCATGGTGGCTGTGTTGCAATAAAACTTTACTTATACAAACAGGCAGGCAAGATTGGATTGACCCTAGGGCCAAGTTTGCCAGTTCTTGATCTAAAGTAATAATCCTGGGAAGACTGGTAACAATACTAATAATTGTATTATTAGGATTATTTAATTATAAGTGAAAAAAAATCTAGTTAAAATTGGCTTAAGGGGGAAAAAAAAGATTTACTGGTTCACTTTCCTGGACAGTTTAAGCCCTGAGAGAGCTTCAGGTACAGCAGAATCTGGGTGATCCAATGACGTCATCAGGAATGTGTCTCTTGGCTCTACTTTTCTTGCCTTGGCCCCTTTCCCAGTGAGGCTGTCCCCACATGGTGGCAGCGTAGCCTCCAGTGGCTCCATGCTTATACATCTCACACCCAAGCAACTCTAGGACAAAGAGAGCTCCTCTTTTCTCATAGTAACAGCAAAAATCCTGGATCCCATACTCATTGGCTCAGCTTGGCTCAATTCTGTATCCCTGAACCAATTGCTGTAAACAGAAGGATTGGCTGGTTTTCTCATTGGTCACTTCTGGAGCTGGAGGGTGGGGTCGACTCCACTCATACTACCGGCCCTAAGGGTGGGGTGGATCCCTAGAGGACAGTTGGGTTGTAAGTGCACTGGTGGAAGTAAGTTGGCATGAATGTTGGTCAGGCAAAACCTTAGACATCCATGATGGCCTTCCCTGCAGTTGCACAGTTCTTGTGTATAAAATAGGTTCTCATCTGTCATCTCCTTTGAGCTTTACCAGTGGCTGTCTGTTGTGTATGTGTTGAAACGTGTATTTGTCTGCCTTACAGACATCCCAAATAACAGTGGTTTGAACAGGGTAGATGTTTATTTCTCTCCCATGTTAACAAGCTGGATGTAGACAGTCCTGGGCTGGCATGGGGCCTCCAGTGTCAGGCACTGGTGCCCTCATGGTCTAAGATGACTTCTCACCATTTCCACATTCCATGAAGTGTGATGCAGGGAAGGTGGGAAGGAGGACCTGCCCCTCTTCTCCTCTTAAGGGCACAACAGGAGGCTGCACACATCTCTTCTGCTCACATCCCGAGGCCAGAACTTAGTCACATGGCCACACCTAGCTGCAAGGGAGGCTGGGAAATGTAGGCTTTATTCTGGGCAGCCCTGTGTCTAGATGAAAATTCTGTTGCTGTGGAAGAAGAATACATTAGGGACACCTCATGGCCTTTGGTTCTGATGACTCCAAAATATTAAGTGACTTTCTAAGAGTATATACTTGAAAACTGATTGAGCTTCTCTTGGGTTCACATCTTGGTCTTTTGCCTCAAAATTCCCTGCTCATTCAGTCACAGACCACCCGTCTCCCCTCCTATAATGTTTTATTTCCAAGCAGCACCTACAGAATTTAGCAGTCGAAGGTAGAACAGGTAACTGACATGGCGTAAGGAGTCTTAACCATGTGCCCAGAGAGCTCAACTATATAGTACAATTCTTAATTGCATTCTCTCTAATGCACAGTCTCCAGTAAAACATTTCCAGGATTTTGATTCAAAATGTTTGCTTCCTTCACTAGTGAGTTCATGTTGCTTGGCCCAGTTCCAGTGAGCATCTGAGGCAGGGCAGACTGGCCAACTGTTTTCCACTTTTGTCTCAAGCGTCTTAAGCGTTTGAGACTGATGCTTTTCACTGCATCTTTACATTTCTAGTTTTTCACTTATATTCATAAGAGTCTGGGCAGAAAGCAAAGATCAGGTCAGGCAGTGCAAGGCCATACACAGGGCCACGTTTCTGTGCTTGGCCTGGGACTTGGAGGCAGCTCCGCCCTGCGGTGGTCCTGCTGCCCAGGCTCTTCCCACCTTCTGGGCTCAGCTGTGTCTCGGGAAGCAGGAAGATGCCAGGAAGGTGTTTGCAGGGGTGTGGGAAGGACGGGCCTCACTTTTTCTTTTTTTCCTTCCTCTTTCGCCTGCAGCCTTCCTGGTCGGTCAAACTGCCTTTTTCCTGGTGGCAGCTGGGCTGGGCTGGATTGGGCAGGGGAGGATGTGTGGGGCGCCAGCACACACACCATCTGTCTCCCTCCTTGCTGGCATCTCCCAGCTTCTGGCCACCTGCAGAAGAGCTGTCTCGAGTCTATTATGGGATGTTAAGGCACTGGGAGCAGACACAATCTGGCTTTCCATTCATGATCTATTGTACACTAGCTGAGAGATGGGGTGGGGATTTCATCTTCCTCTGCCTCAGTTTCTTGTCTGTAAAATGGGGATAATTGATTCATTTATTCATTCGACAGCTTCCTCTTGTACACCTGCCGTGTGATAGGGATCATTCTAAGTACTGGGGATAGAACAGCGACCAAGGCAAGAAAAGTCCCTGTTCTCATGGAATGGCCATTCTAGTAGGGGATGACTTACCTAATATGTCATGTAGCAGTAAGTTCTCTGCAGGAAATAAAGTAAGTTAAGGATGGCAGGCTTGAAAAAGTTAGTGTGGTGGCTGCTACTTTAGATTGCTCTTTGGGAAAACTATGTCTTGAGTGATATTTAGGCAGAGACCTGGATAAAGCTATCAGAGTAGAGGCAAGGAATATCTGGAGGGAAAGCATTCCTGGTAGAGGAACTGCAAGTGCAAAGGCCCTGGGGTACAAGTGTGTTCGAGGAATAGCAAGAAGGCCTGGGTGGCTGGAGTGGAGTGTGAGAGGCAAAGTAGAAGGACATGAGGTTGGAAAGATTGAAAGAGGCCAGATAATGAAGGAGCAATTAGACAGTGGAAAGAATCTGAGATTTTTAAAAGGCTCTTTTTGTTGCAGTGTAGTGTGCATGCAGTGAATGTGCTCCCCGCATAATGAATGTTCGTATGTGCGTTCACTCACAGAACCACCCCCGGGATGGAGGTTTAGAACATTTCCATCACTGCAGAAGTTTCCCTCATGCCCTTTCCCAGTCATGTCCTTCTGTGTAGCCACAGGTAACCGAGGCTCTGCCAATTTCTCTGATGAAGTTTAATTTTGCCTGTTCTAGAATTTTTCACGGACGGAATCACACAAGGAAGATCTTGTGTCTGGCTTCTCTTGCTCAGCATACTGTAAGATTCGTCCATGTTGGAGCAGGTGGCAGTACTTTCAATAGAATATTCAGTTTTAGTCTGAGTGGGATGGGCAGCCACGGGATGGTTTTGAGCAGAGGAATGATGTGAATTAATTTGTATTTTGAAAGGCTTCCCTTGGCCGGGTGAGGGGAAAAGCCCAGAGACCAGGATGGGAGCTCGTGTGAGTTCCCGAGGGCTGGCGTAACAGTGATCAGAAACTGGGCAGCTTAAAACACAACTGAGTCTCTCTCAGTTCTGGCAGCCAGAAGTCTGAAATCAAGGTGTCGGCAGGGCTCTGCTCCTCTGAAGGCTCCGGGGGGAGGATCCTGTCTTTCCTCTTCCAGCGTCAGATGGCCTCAGGGGTTCCTTGTCTTGTGGAGTCGTAATTCCAGTCTCTGCCTCCCTTTTCACATGACTGCCTTCTCTGCCTTTCCTCTTCTTAGAAGGGCATGGAGCCAGTTGTTTCAGGTACCCCAATCCAGGACGGTCTCATCTTAATATAACTAATTACACCTGTAAAGACCCTATTTCCAAATAAGGTCACATTCTGAGATTTGGGGTGGGCATGGCATTTGAGGGGACACTATTTAGTCCACCATAGGGAGGCTGCAACAGTCCAGGCAGGAGATGATGCTGGTGAGGACAGGGCGGCAGTGGTGGGAGGTGTTTAGATTCCCGTCCAGTTTGATTGTCCAGCTAACACAATTTGCTGTGAGGTTGGCTTTGGGGTGTAAATGAATGAGAGGAATCAAAGATGACGCCAGGGTTTGGGACCCCCCAAACTGGAAGAATGGAGGCCTAATTTCCTGAAATGGTGAAGGCTGGGGCTGGAGCAAGTATGGGAGGTAAATTTAAAAATTCCATTTTGGATGTGTGAGGTTTAAGATGCCTGTTAGATATCCAGGTGGGGCTGAGGGCCTAGAATCAGAGATTTGAGTCTGGGGTTTAGGGAAGGGAGGGGCCAGGTTGGAGATATAAAGCTGAGTGTTCTGCATAAAAGTTGATCAACGTGGTTAAAGGGATGGGTCTGGAGGAGGTCTGTGGGGGATGAGCATGGATGGACAGGAGAATCTAGGATCTGCGGGCGTGGCTGCTGTTAGGAGGTTGGGAAGATGATGTGGATGACAGTGCACCTGAATCAGTTCTGTGAATTAGAATGGTTTAAAGAGAATTCTCAGAATGTCTTCCCATAGTGCCTGGAGTGTAATCTTATTCAAATGGTGAATAGCTCTGTGTGTGCTTGCCTTTTTTTTTTATTTAATGAAAATAAAGTGAAACAACAGTTTAGGGTGAAGTAGAGTTGTTGGCTGTGACAGTCCTGTGAAAAGTTCTTGATCCTGGACAAAGAGACAGGCCTCTCTCCCGCCAAGCCCTTGGGGCGTCTGGAAAGCACTCCTCACTCCCAGGCTCCCCTCTCTCTGCCCGGAGCTGACATCACCAGGGCAGCTCGTGGGGAGCGCTGGCTCGGAGGACAAAGGCCTGAGTGTGAGCAGTGTGGGGCCTGGCATCTCCCAGCTGCCACAGCCCTGATCCCCCATCTGTGCCAGGGGTAGACGTGGGGCTGGGAGCCATGCAGCTCCTGCCAGAGCAGGGATCCGGGGTCCCTGGGACTCTGCTGCTCCAAGGACAGGATCTGCGAAGATCCCTGAGAGACTTGGGCCACTGCTTCTGGCTCTGAGTGCCAGCTTGACCATCTGGAATAGGGATATGACGGTCCGTGCTCATTCCAGGGCTGTGAGGGTGAATTTTACCCATAGGTGAAGCACGAGGCACTGTGCCTTAGGCGTGGTAAGCACACGGTAAATGTTCTCTGAGCTCATTTTACCTTGACTGGAGGCAGGGAATTTGTCTGCTTTGTTGGGCAGTTCCCCAGGGCTTGGAACAGTGCCCAGCACATAGTAAGCAACAGTGTGAATTTGTAGAGTGAATGAATGAATGAATGAAGGATAGGATTAGCATCCCTTTCCCCAAGAGTCCTGTTTCATTTCCAGTCTGCTACCATGGTGTTGAGGAAGGCTGAGACCCCTTCATTGCTGGGTGTGCTGGCATTTTGTTCATTCATTCATTCATTCATTTGTACATACACTGGGCAGATGGAGAGCCCTGGCGCCCTGGGACTGTGACGGGTGTGGTGGGAGAGCACACGTGTGTAATTTGGTACATTTCTTTCCCATGCAAGACTTTCTATTTTAATACTGATAGATTCTCCATAAACAATGCCTCGTTTTGTTTTTCACGTCTTTGAAAGCTTTGTATAAATGGATTCGTACCGTACATATCCTTTTGTTTTCCTCTTTAGCCCAAGAACATGTTTTTGAGGTGCCTCCACATTGCTGTACCGAGCTTCAGTTCTCCCGTTTTCCCCACTGCGTGGTTGTACGATTGTGTAAATCTGCAGACGTATTTTGTCAGTCTCCAGTTGATAGATATTTAGGTTGCTTCCCATTTTTTTTGTTTTTTTGCTCTTTCAAACATGGCAGTTTTGAGTGTCCATGTTCTCATGTCCTGGTGTGCACGTGTATGTGAGTTTCTGTAGACCAGGGGTTGGCAGGCCAGATAGTAAATCATTTCAGTTTTGCCGCTACAGGGTCTCTGTAGCAACTATGCAGTTAGCCCAGAGGCAGCCACAGGCAGCATGTAAACAAATGGTTGTAGCTGTTTGCCAGAAGAGGAAGGAGGCAGGATTTGGCCCAGGGGCCATAGTTTGTTGACCCTTGATCTAGGCTTCGTGTGTAGGCTTTGGTTGTGGAATGCACACATTTTTACCTCTCCTAGGTTTTGCTAAATTGCTCCCAATTTTCGTCTGTAGCTGTGTTTTGAGAGTGCTTCCATGAGTATTTGAGGGTGGCCAAATTTCTTTGTCACCCTTGTTGAGTCCTGATGAGAGTCTCCCGTCTATTTGCAGAGCTGCATGCTTCTGGGAGGCCGGAAGACCACGGACATCCCTCTGGAGGGCTACCTGCTGTCTCCTATTCAGAGGATCTGCAAGTACCCGCTCCTCCTCAAGGTGAGACGTTCCCTAATTCCTCTCCCTGATTTTGAAGGGACAGGAAACTCAGCTCTGCCTGGCTTAATCAAAAAGTAAAACTTGTTCGTTCAAGTAGCTGAGAAGTCTGCTGAGAAGCCGGGCTGCCTCCAAACCAGGACCCTGCCTCTTTCTCCCTGCCCAGCTTTACTCTCAGCGTGGTAGCAGTGGCTGTAGTTACTGTGGCCCTGCACTCTCTGAAGTTCAGAGACAGTGGGGAAGAGTGAGCCTCTCTTCCAGTAGCTCTGACAAAAGTTCTGAGAGTCACCCAGGCTTTGGCCATCTGTGGCGAGGAGGATGTTACATTAGGAATGGTTTGGGCCTGAGTCATGTGCTTTAATTTGAAGCCTTTGCAGGAAGCCTTTGTTTCTGCTGTTTATCCTCCTCGCATATGCTTGGACTTGCGCTGTACCCCTAACCGAATCACTACAAGCTGAGCAGTGTGGGGACCTGATTGGCTGAGACCACAGTCAGGTTCTCCACTCCTAAACCGATCACCCTGAACAAGCAAGCTCGGATTGGCACAGACTTGTGTCGTGTATTCCAGCTTTGAACCAATCACTGGATCCCATGGGCCAAAAGTCCAGTGATGGGGGAGAGGGACCCCCTCATCAAAATCTGGGCTGTTTGTGGAGGGTGAGGCAGATGCTGGGTGGGCAAACCACAGCCATCTGTGCACTGGCTGTCTCCTTCCCCGCCCAGCCACCTTTAACTTACTCTTGGTCAGGTGGACCAGAGGAAGATGTGCTGCTTGTGTGGGGATACAGGAAGTCTTGATTCTCAGCTTCAGTTTCAGAGCTGGCTCCTGGGCAGATCCCTGGCTGGGTGGATGGCTCCGTCACCATCCACTGCTCTCTCAGCCCAGGGTTTTCAGCCCTTGGAGATGGCGCCTGTTGGCCTGCGTCTGTCCTGGCTCCATCCTGGAGGCCTTACTTCTGACAGCTGTTCCCTGTGGTCCCTGCTGGTGGATTAATTTGGCTGGTGGTGCCTCATTCATGCACCTGCTCACTGGGGCGACATGCCTCTTTGCTCCATGAACTGGAAAGGAGAGAGGAGGGGAGCAGTACTAGGGATTCCTGAACTTGACTTTCTGCTGGAGATGGTGGCTGACCCTTGAGCTGGCCCGGACCCTTTTTGGAGCCATCAGCTCTGTCTTCGAACACAGGCCTTTAGTATGCATAGCCATGGGTGGTGGGAGCCAGCTCTCCCTGCGCCTCCTCTGGCCTGCTGCTGTTTATCCCTCCCAGGGATCTCAGAGAACCGTCTACAGTTGTTCCTGCAGCTGCTTTGATCCCCAAACAGGCGCTGGAAATGCAGGAGGTAGCTCAGCTCTCACCTTGGGGCTGAGGCAGCTCCCGGTAGAACTTGTGAATTGATAACCTATGGACTGCATTGGACCTGCAGACGTGTGTTATTTGATTTATTCAGCATGTTTCCCAAACTTGAATCTGTTGCCAGCATTTAAGAGGTGGTATTCTGTAGTGACTTAGGGCAGAGGCTGGCGAAACTGTGGCCTGTGAGCCAGATCCAGCCGATGGGCTGTTTTTGTACAATCCATAAGCTAAGAATGGTATTTACATTTTTTAAAGAGTTGTTAAAAAAGCCCTCAAAACAAAGAAGAATGTGTGACAGAGACGGAATGTGGCTAGCAAAGCCTAAAATATTTACAATCTGACTGTTTACAGAAAAAAATTTGCTGACTCCTGGATGAGAGCCAGGCTTTGCGGCCACAGGCTGTGTGGATTTGAATTCTATCTCTGTCCTTTACTAGCTGTGTGACCTTGGGAAAGTCACTTCCCCGTGCCTCAGTTTCCCATCTGCAATACAGTGTTTATATTAATAGTACTGACAGGGTTGATATGATGATGAAATATTTGTTTACTTAATGCTTAGAACAACTTGAGGTAGGCATTGTGATCGGCCCCATTTTAGAGATGCGGCAACTGAGGCACAGAGAAAGGAAGTGGCCCGTTTAAGGCCACGTGTTAGGTAAGCAGGAGGAGTCATGATTCGAACCTGGGGAGTCTGACTCTGGAGTTCCGCCCCCTAGCCGTCAGGCTGTACTGCCTATTGAGAAACACTTTGGAGAATTAAGCTGCTAAAGTGCTTGGTGTCGAGAATGCTGACCTTCTCAGTTCCCTAGGTGGGGGTCTGGGAAAGTTGGTGGCCTTGTGTTTCGTGTCTCAGTGTCTGGTCCGTTCCTTCTTTTCTGGGTTTCAAAACCTTGAGTATCTGACCCATTAGAAGAACCACCAGCTGTACCCCCTGAACCCAGCCAGGATCCCTAGGTATAAACGCCTTGGTTTCTGGATCTTGGGAAACTCTGGGATCCCAGTGGCCACTTGGGTGGCAGTTTCCATAAATTATTTTAACAACCACTGGGGCTGGACCTGTGTGTCCTGGTGGATTCTGAGCTTTCGATGTGAAATCCAGGCGTTTCGGAGGGCGGCTCAGCCCCAGGGGCCACAGTCTGGTCTGGTGGGAGTCCTGGGCTCTGGATTCCCAGGAGAACAGAGAGAGGGACAGAGCCGGCCGGCAGTCGGTGGAGGAGTAACTGCCCACAGGAAGCAGTGAGGAAGTGGGGCTGTGTGTTTCCCTCCAGACCAAATGGCTGTTTACACACCCTGTTTCCTCGGTCTCCAGCTGTGTTTATCCGGGGCTCAGAGAGCACTGGGGGACCAGCCAGCAGGGCCTGAGATTCTAGTGGGGACATGCCATGCTCCCGCCCGACAGAATTGCTCAGAGTGTCCTGGCCTTTGGCACCCACAGCTGGAACGTTTGCATCAGAAAACAGCTGGGGTTGAGGGGAACTCTTCATACCCTTCCTGAGTTCCTCCTTTCTGTCACATTTTCCAGTGGATTTTAAAAGATTTGATCCCATGAGCTTGGGGCAATTGAGTCCGAACCCTCAGTCCTACCCCATCCCCGCCCCTTCCAATTCTGACGCCCTTGCAGATGTCCCTATGGCCTTCTGAGCCCCCTTGTTTGAGCTGAACTTTGAATTGAGTAGGCGAACAGGGTCGAGGAGCCTGGGTGGGAATGGGGAAGAGGCAAGAATGAAAGCCTCTTTGGGAACAGCCCCAAAAAGCTGAACTTGAATGTTGCCTAAGAATAGCTGGAACATTCTATTTCAGCCTTCAGCCCAGGCCCGGGATAGACAGTTGGCATTTCCAGACTTTGCTGAGTTTTCCATCAGCATTTCCAGGAAAATGATTCAGGTTTTGGGTGATGCCCCTGGTGCTCAAATGGCAGGTGCCGGAGGGGAGATGCACTGTCACTGATGTTTCAGTCGTTTCCTGGTACAGATCTTACTGGCGGGCTTAGTGCACACCGGCTGCTGGCGCAGCTTAGGACCATGGTCAGGGGCAGGCCAGACCCAGTGCCTGCCCCTCGGAGCTTCCAGTCTTGGACTGGCCCCATGAAGGCCTGGTATGTAACGAGAGCGGGTTGAGGCAGGTGGGGCCAAGCCAGAGGTGCACATCTGTCTAAAGGGGGCAGCTGCTGCTCCGGTCCCCTAGTCCCTTTGTCTCTGCCTCTGTGGCCCCTTCCTCTCAGTTTCCTTTGCTGGTTCCTCGCTTTCTAGTCCCCCAGGCGTCAGTGGGGCCGAGACCGTGGTCCGTGGTCCTTTTCTCTGTATAGACTTGCACCTGCGGTGGCTTCATCCACTCTGTGGGCTTGTTTTTAAAAATATGTTCAACAGTTGTGCAACCATCACCATGATAAGTTTAGAACATTTTCATCACCCCCAGAAGAAACTCTGGATCCACGAACAGCCACTTCCTTTCCCCCCCTCTGCCCCTGGCAAGCCCCCATCTACTTTCTGTCTCTGTGAATTGCCTACTCTGGACATTTCACAGAAGTGGAATCATGGGATATGGAGCTTTTTGTGTCTGGCTTCTTTCACTTAGCAGAGTGTTGTCAAGGTTCATCCACGTTGTTGTGTATATCACAGCCTCACTCCTTTCTGTGGCTGAATCACGCTCCATTGTGTGGGTAGACCATGTTTTATCCATTCATCAGTTGATGGACCCTTGGGTTGTTTCCACTTCCTGGCGATTGTGAATAATGCTGCTGTGAACATCCATGTAGGAGTTTCTGTGTGGACACTCTTGTGGCTGTAGGCCCCATCTCTGTCCGATGACGTCCAGCCTGGACCTGTCACTGAAACCTGGGCTTGTTCTCCTGCCCACTCAGCCTCTACAGCTGGATGTCTCACGGGCACCTCCTACCTAACATGTCACAAACTGAGTGCTTGGCCTCGCCTTCCTCCAGACCTGTTTCCCCTCCCACCTACCCTCTCGTCCTCATCTCCGTAAATGACTTGATCAAGCATTCTGGGCCTAAGCAGCACGCATCCTGGGAGCCATCTTCTGGGACAACTGCTGCAGCGGGATGTATAGTGTCAAGGATGCTTTTGGCAGAATGTCTGCTTAGGGTATAGCCTCGGGGCTCTGCACCATCTCTAGTGTCTCCTGCATCTCCCATACCTCTGTATGTGGATAATGTAGCTGTCACCCACCCACAGCATGAGGATCTTGCCATTCGATTGTTGCCTCTGTCTCCATGGCCATCAGAAGTGTGGTGCCCCTGGGGATGGACCATGGTCCATCCCTAAGTAGGTGTTGGCATCAGCTCTTGATGCAGGGGGATGACTAGGGAGCGGGTGTTTCTCAGAGCGTGGGACGTGTAACATTCGTAGGCCTCCAAAGGATTTTAGGTGGCACAGGAGAAAACTTTACAAGGTGGTGGCGGCGGGGAAGAGGACAGCACAGTGCCTCATACAGTGAGAATAGTCCTTTCTTAGCAGACCCCTTTCAGTCTTCCTGGTTACCTCCAGAAGAGCCACCTTGGTGCTGCAGTGTCTCACGTTTTGGGAGCTGTTCATTCATTCACCAGCTGTTGATTGAGCAACTATTGTGTATCAGGAATTGTACAAGGTGCTGGAGACACAAAGTGAATAAAAACTGCCCAACCCCTTTCTC